AAGAGATCCCTTAATATATTTCAACAAAGCATTCACCTTTTTGTTGGTAATTGAATAATTGCTGATTCATAAATATGTATAGGAATGTCCGAGGAAGTAACCTATTATAGCATAAAAGCAATATCTAGTTACTTTCTCCAAGTTATGTTACGCTAAGACCATGACATTGAATAATTTTCTCTTCACTTTCTTTCAGCTGAATTCATTTCATGAACGAGACTTACTTAGTATATACTTCGAACCAAGTTTGTGTAGTTTACAGAAGTGGTAGTAACAGTACAGGACAGCTAGGCATCGGATGATCGTCATTACTATTACATCTGCAGCATTGTATTCCGCCTATAAAACAAATAAAAATAATGAATATTAAAATGTCGGGAGCATCAACTAATTACCAAAAACACTTGATTCAAATTACATAAGTTTCATACATTTTTCTCGAACTTAATTTATGCATCGTGAATAGTTAACTAGATGATATAAAATTTACAGATGATTGTCCCACGAATATTTATTCCCGATTTTTCAATTTTCAAAATTTTTTTTCTACTACTTGGAAGCTGTCTCCCAAGTCTCAGAAAAACACCGCAGCCAATATTAGATATTTTGAAATATGCCAATATTCACACACCCAAATTGTTTAGGATCCTTAAGCGTAAATAAAAAATCTAAATATGCTGCACGATATTTTTTAATGTTATTAATCACTCAACTTATTTGAAATGCCAATTAAATATTATATAACAAAGTCTTTCCGTCACGTCTGTCTGTATGTCAGCGATAAGCTTTCAAGTTACAGAAAGGATTTCCATACGATTTTCACCAATAACAGGGTGATTCGGGAAAATGTACGTGCATAGTATATTAATGTTTTGTGTAAATTGGTAGAAATATGACGATATTGGCCGTGTGAATTTGGGGCGGTGCTGCACGTGCGAAGCCGGGAGTTTTCATCGAAGAACGCTGCATAGTCGCTTTGAAATATAACAAACTTATTCACTAGATATTATTCTTCATTTATAGGTCTACAGAAAAATCCGCGATATCTTATGTCTTCCTTTTAAGGATAGCATATTATATATATTTTAATGTTTAAAAAAATGTGATAATTGGATTGCTATTTAGTCTCATTTCTGTCAAAATACAAGAAGCTCCACATTACACTCATAAAATTACCCCTTTGTCAAAAAGTATATATTGGTTAAACGAAACAAGTTTTCGAAGATCGAGACATGTTAAGGCATGTATTAGATGAAGATCATTGAATGGAGTTCAAAAGAGCTAATATTTTTAAATAAAACACAAGCACTACAGGAAAACGCTTAAGATGCTCTCAGAGCGGTGCCTGTGCGAAAGTAGCGATTTGAATCGCTGGAGATTAAATCCATTTGGAAAAACGTTCTCAAGAAGTTTATTCCACATGAACGCAGTTCAAGCAAATAACGGAAAGTCTTTTTTTTGGAAATGGTACATACTTCTGATACAAAAAAAAAGAAAATGAATAAACGAAAACAAATTAGTTTCAGTATTCCTTCGTCTTTCTTGGAATTTCAATGATGTTGGTTTCGAACAATATTTGTAATTATGTCACTTGTATGTCAATTCATAAAATCATTTAATTTAAATTTCATGTTTGTGAGTTCATATTTGTAGTTTATATTTTCTTCTAATATTTCATAATTATTTGTGAAAAGTCTTGACAGAGAAAGAAAAATCGAAAGAAAGAAATTGTTTCACTTGATCAGTTCTACTATTCATATACGAAAAAATAATAATGTATATCTATCAAAAGTTTTATTCAAATATTTTCATTTGTTAATTATACGTTACTTTCATATTTTTTCATTTCTTCAAATTTGATGTAAATTAATTTGATTCGGAAGTATTCACATTGTGTACATTGACTAAACCATGACAAACAAGTAATATATTTTTCACATTTAATAATTTTTCTATAAATTTTCGTGGCAGCTGAATTTTTAATGAAGGGTATACTCTTAAATTATTAGGATTCAAAAATTGGATGAAATTGGATGAAATCCATATCAAAACTTACTAATTAGAATTATTTTGATTTTCACTATGAAAGATTCACGAAACCGCTACATGCTACTGTATAGCGAAATACGTGTCACAGTTTTGTGAACATTTTCTATTGAAAATTGAAATAAACTTTATTAGTAAGCTTTTATGAAAATTCATTTTCCAACTTTAGGCATGAAAGGGCTTAGAATAGATAAAAGTTTAAAATAACAGAATACGACACAATGCAATTTAAATAACATAAAACTTTAGACTTGAAGAAGTTCAGATTAGTTAGAAGTTCGAAATCATAGGGAATGACAAAATATAATTTAGGTTAAAAGACGTTAAAGTTTGTTGTTAAGGGCATTCATTTATTTTATATAGATGATATTGAGTTTTATGCCTCTAGAGAAAAAACTTCCGTCAATCCTGAGGGTGGTAAAAGAAACACATGCTATCGGTATGAAATTCTGGATAGACAAATGTGCAACGATTTATTCAAAAAGGGGATGATGCGAGGATTACAGATTGAATGTTTAGCTCGTAGACGAAAGCAACTGGTTGAATCTAATATAATCAGAAACCACGCTGACTCTACCCATACCAATTGGTTGTTCTGATTTATCAGTTGGAGGAGCTGGACACAAAGAATTATCACAACTCCATCACTGAGTTCACTTCACTCCAGTCTATAACTATGGACATAATGCTGCCCTACGAGTACTTTATCACCCCCTTCAGCAGTCCTACGGTATTGACAAGAGACCGGTATTGCCCAGCGCTCCTGGTAAAATTAAATCCGCTGTGGGGAATAGGAAGAGCCGAATTTATTGAAAAGTCATTCCTCACACTTAGACTCATACGAGCTGCCTACTAAAGTACTTCAGAACATCTAAGTAAGATGATGCTTTTTGAAGAGTTTTCAAATATGGGGCGACAAATATCGTCTGAGAAAAAGAGGAAAAATGGATGAAATACCGAAATTTTCTGTTCGAACTCAGCAGACTCTACAGACAACGCACTTTATTGAAATGGTTGTTATGATTATTGGAGTCCTTTGGGAATCTCAAGATTATGCCGAGTTGCTGCACTGAGGCAGAAATCTTGGTAGGGTATACATATACAGAAGGCTATCATTATTGGCTCTATGCATCTGTTCAGGTAACATGAATTCTCGGATCCCTTGATCACGGTGTGGTTATTGATTATTGATGCTGTGAGTTTTCTGAAGTATCGGAGTTTCGTGGAAAGGGGTCGGCTGGAGCAACCTCTCGGGTTCATGAGAAATAAAGACAAGGTTTATTGAGTAACTTGTGAATTGAACTGTTTTTCAAACATGTATCTAGGTCAAAATTGAAAGAAATCGGATATGAATGAAGTAAAATTCATTTGAATTATATGAAACAGAAATTGAATTATAGATATAAATAGATAAATCAGATTTGAAATAAGAAAAATTTATACTTTGTTTCATCGAAATAGGTCGATATTGAAGCTCAACATACTGGATTCTAAACAAGTCATCGTTCTGGTAGGAATATATTTTATGCTACATTACTTTAATAATATGATAATGTATTTCAATACATAATACATAACATTCAAATTAAAATAAAAAACAGCCATCATCACTCCATATTGAATTTGTGAATGAACAAAATAGTTGTCGTTCGATTTATATTCACAAATCTTTCAAGCTTTACTGTGGAGCATTGCTTTCAACCTGCCAACTAAATTCGTTATATCTTAGTACGAAGTACGATATATCACGAATACAAGTCCGATATTTGACATTTCTTTAAATTAAGAGCTGAATTAGCCTATTGTTCGTAATTCGTAAGGATCGTAATTTGTCAGCATATAAATCCATTTTTCAATAAATATTTCAACAAGTTTTCAAAGATGGTAGAATATGCAGTGAAAGATGCAGAAAAAAACAGAAAACAAATCTCGTTCGGCGGACGATGTCAAAGCTCAACTTTGCAACGTACCCTGCTTTCATTTGATGTCTCGTTCATCCTTGATATTTATGGGTTCAGCAGTGCATTCATGGTTTCAGTGTAACACCACGATAAGACCTATGGTGAGTCGAAACGGCGCTGACTTTTCTATGAGAGAACCGAAATGAAAAATCATTGAAAAATAGAAGTTCAATGAATATATGGTTCAGACGACGTATTTCTGGAAATGAGTTCTAACCAAGTCCCACTGGCAACTTAATAGTTGCCAGTGCGACTTCATCGGGATTGCATATGTTTTTGTTTTCTTCTCGAAGAAAAGGAAAATATAGAACATTTTAGATCCATCCATTGAATAACATAAGGCTTATAGATGGACAATTTTATAAACTGACTAGCAAATTGAAAATTAACCAATACACTTTTTTAATTAATACCGCAATGTTGTGAGACACTTTAAAAAAAAATATTATCTGCATATTTTTGTATCATAAAACGTGTGGCGCAATTGAAATGCTTCCACAAATACTTCGATGTCTACCGATTGCACGGCGAAATTATCAAGAGCAATTTCTTAATCGATAGTATGCTTAGGCAGGTATGAGGCACCAGCTGAATTAAACTTGCTAACATTTTTTAGTAGCTCCAACTGAACAATCGCATGTATGCGGTTACTCATAAAAAATAATGTGTTGTAATTTCAGGATTGAAAAGTTGATTGAATAAACTTGCCAGTGTGCGGCTAGCCTTAGTGGAGGTTTATTGACATTGGCAGTGAAAGTGAATGGAAAAAAAAACCTTTTATCGTGTCTATTTGCCCTTCAACATATGTGTTTATTCGGTATCCTCTTATTTGTTAGACAGTACAGAAATTATTGTTAGTCCAATATTCAATTGAACGTTCAATTCAAAATTGATTTTGGATTTTAGTTCTGACTATCCTTGCAAAAATTAAACTGCAGATATACCGGGTGTCCCAACATTGCAAATTCGCTCGATACATCGATAATGCTGATATGTTTAAAAACATTCTTAAATAATAGTTATATGACATATGAAGTTACGTTAAGAAAAGTGTTCCAGATGCACAGGATGTTTCATTTTTCCAAAATGACAGAAAAATATATTTTTCAATTGCGAATTAACCATTTTATTATGCGCCGATGTTAAGTTGAATTTTTTTTTAATAGGCAGTAATGAAATTACTGCCTATTAAAAAATTTGTTCTCCCGAGGCTCATTTTCTTCCATGTAGTACTAGCAGTAAAAGAAATCTTTGATTTCATAGTTGCCCTCATGCAGAAATTTATTGGTGTCAGATTCGGCAACCTCGGAGGCCTTGAAATAGTCCTAATTA